ACTCTGTATCCAGCTGAATCAAACTGGTGTTTAACAGCACTCCAGCCAATGTTCCAGCAGKCTAGGAGAGATGGAAACTAGCAGAAATTGGAAAGCCATTGCTGGGAATGATGTCAGATTTGTCTTTACTGTGTCATCTCCAGCAGCAATTCTAGGTCAGAATCAAACTTTTGTATATTACTCTTCTATGCAAACATTAGCAAATGAGTATGAAAAATGTATTCTTTATAATGGAAAAAAAAAGTCCAGCAATATTCTGCCAGTATAGATCTTCAGTTAATTTAAATGAGAAGTGATATTTTGTATCGAGATGGGATGCTCATAAAAGTTTTGGAAATATGTGAGTTAAGATGAAAAAAAAACAAAATTAAATCAGCAATGCTATGAAGATTTTACATTTAAGTGACAYATGACAAAGTTGAGTTTGGTTTGTTAGGCCTCCATTTCAGGTCTACCTTGTCAGCTCACTATCTGACCATTGTGAAAGCTCACCACACCATGAGCCATGCAGCTGAAAATTCCCACTTGCCCTCAGTTAAGCAAAGGCAGCATTAAACATCAGCAGTATCAAAATTTCCCTTTTATCCCTGAAATATTAAGCCCAAGTGCTATTTAAGTGTCACCAAACATGAGCTGTGCTAAGCCCTCAGATGGTGAGGAGCTCYATCTCTTTGCAAGGTTTCATAGGTTCCCCCAAGAACACGTCTGTGGAAAAGCCATACACCTGTATGCAAATAAACACWTGAACGTAGCATATGTATGTAAACACAAATGCATACATGCATATGCATAAGTGATCTATAATTGATATGAAGWGGCTTATCACCCAGCAGGTGGCACTCATACCCTGAGCTCCCGAGGCTGGAGCACGGTGGGAGGCTGGCACTCGGCGCTGCTCTACAGGAGGCACCATCTTCCTCAGAGGCAAAGACACCATGGGTGCGAAAGCACTCGCCACCCTTTTGCAAGGCCGGATGTGTCAAGTCYGGCATCCGGGCCAAAATTCCATCTATCTGCTGGCCAGGCACCCTCTCCATTCATTCCCTCCACAGCTGCAAGGCTCCCCCTTGACTGCTGCTGATTCTCAAGTGCTCTTGCAGCCTTTCCAGAGGAGCAGCATTTTGGGGACTGAAAGGGTCCTGGAACATTTTCCATATAGAAGCGTCACATTATGATGTCAAGAATAATATGACTAAATGTAAAGCTTCCTTCAGACTTCATCACTTCTCTTCTCCATTTGACACACCCAACTAGCTTTCAATTAGTCCCACTAATAATTTGAGCTTTTGAAGATCTTATGAATGAGCAAATCAGAACTGGCAGAGGAAATGTTGTTTTCCTTTGATTAAAATTAAAGACTTGTTTTCGCCCAAGACTTAAGTGTCACTRTCATATGTACGTTCTTAATACACCTCCTTCTTCAGCTGAGTGGTGCTTAAACTTCAGCTGAGTGGGTTTGTTTTTAAAAAAATATTTTCCTTTCCAATTCAATATTCCACCCATCTCCATTCCCTCTTAAAAAAAAATCAGTTTAGAAGTATCAATTTGAAAACATCAGCTCTTCGTAGAGTAGTGCTCTTTCCCATTAAGAGAATGCTTCGTGTCAGATTGAAAGATACCTTTCCAAGGTCATTTCATGTTCCAATGGGTTTGTTATGAAGTTGTGGAATGGCAGATAAGGTTGCATGAGATAGTAAAGTGCCTTCCTAAGCTAGTTCTGGGCAGTAATGTGCAACCAATATTTGAACAAGGGACTTCTTTAACATTTACCTCTGAAAGAAACTTCAAGTGCTGAAATAAATGCTGCTGCAGGAAGGAGACRAGTAGTACTGAGATAGTGATAATCTGTTTCCCACTTAAAAAAAAAAGGCCAAAGGAAAAAAAAAAACATTTTCTTGACAAATTTGCACAAACTGCACACGTTCATGGTACTTGGCAAAGGTTGGGTGCTTCTAGGAACATTAGGGGGTATCTTTTCAGCAAGTTAAAATACTCAACCTTATGTGATATTGAGGATTTGATGTTAAAAACTGCTCAATTCAGTATCAATAGCGATGCCTTCAAGTTAGAATAACAAGGACACCAGCGTAGCTTCCTATTAAGTACAGGACTGATAATTTRCAAGGTTAAAAAAAAGAAGGGAAAAAAAAAAAAAGAAAAAAGAGAGAAAGAGAGCATATCTAAGAACAGTTCTTTGAAAGTCTTGTAGTTACAAGTGTGAGAAAYGATGATCCAGTATTTTTAGACTGCTTCTAACAGAACCCAAAAATGGAGGAAACCATATAACAGTATCCTCTTAGCAAGCTTTTAATACTGCCTGAGCCYATCCCAAACTCTGAAAGAAGGTAAGCATCTGGCAGCACACTGAATTGCGTGCCACCATTTCAGCCATCGTACTAGGGGCTAAATCCTTCCCTGGAAAGAACAGAGTAACAAACATGCAAACTCCAGAGAGAAGGGGGGAAAAAGATCCTCCTCACATATGCTTAGCTACAGCTTAACATGGTTTAAAGCTTGAGGAAGGATCACCCATTCGAATACAAAACCGCAACTATTTGGCATTGAAACAGCCCTAGCAAAAGGGTAAAGGCGTCTGAGTGGGTGTTTTTTCAAGTCCTAAATGAGCATTTTGGGGGTCCGACAGCCTGACAGGAAAAAAAAAAAATAGAAAAATGGCCACCCAGCACTGAACTATGYACAAAATGCAGAGTTTCGGCGCTTCCAGTTCTGCATTGCACCCTGCGCTCCCAGCCCCCCGCATTCCCACAGGCTCCCAAACGCCCCCGGCTCCCCCACGCCGCTGTCCATTGCCGGGGAACGGGGGAGGGCACGGTCCCTCGGCGTTATCTGCAACCACCCCCAGGGCTCCATTACTACTACTTTTAATTTTCCTGCTAGTATCACTTTTCTAATGAATTGCTGTTACTACAGAAATGTAAATGTCGCCAGCTGAGTAGTTCGGGGTTTTTTTAAACATCCGAAAAGGTAGAGAAAAGGGGGGAGGGGGGAGGGGAGTTTAATAGCCACTATTAAACATTTCTCACGTTAAAGCCGCACCGACCCCGCCACCCGCAAAACCTTGCGGCTTCATCAGGACTGGCCCCAAGCCCCCAAAAAGGGCTTCAGCGCCCCATCAGCACCGGCTGGGCTCACCAGCGGATGCTCCCCAGGCCTCGCTCCGGCTTGCGCAGCCCACCCCCTCCGCGCCCCCGCAGCCCACCCCCTCCGCGCACCGCCCGTAACTTTGCGGGCGCCGCCGCGTCCCAGCGCCCAGGCGGATCTTCCGCGGGAGATGCTGAGCTCCGCGGAGGGCAGAAACGCGGGAAGGGCGGCTGAGGGACAGGGTCCGGCAAGAGCCGTACCCCGCCTGCGGCACTCCCGCACCGAACCGCGCCGCACCGCAAGTCCGCCCCGCCACCGGAGCGGGGGCAAACCCTGCCCGGGGACCCCCGAAGCGACCCGCGGCGGGGACGAGCTGGGGCACGGGACAGCCCGTACGGCCAAAAGGAAAAACGCGGAGGGAGGAATGGAAAGAGGCGAAGAGGCGCCCCCGCGCCGCAGCCCCGCCGCCCCAGCCCTCCCTCCCGCGCAGCGGCGCGGAGCGATGCGCAGCAGCAGCGCGCCCCCGGGGGCAGCGCACGCCCCTCGGCCCTCCCCGCTGACCTCAAGCCAAGGACAGCCCGGCGGTGCCGCTGCCCATCGCGACCCGCGGGCCCCGCTGAACGGAGCCAGGCCAGGGCGGCAGCAAGGGCGGCCGGGGAAGCGAGGGGAGCGGGGGCTCCTCACCTGAGCCTGCCCCGGGAGCTGCTCTCCGCCGCCGCCGCGGGAGGGACGCGGMTCCTGCCGCTCTCCACAAAGGAGGCTGGCGCTGACAACCCCGGCCCGGCGAAGTTACGCGCCGTCGCGGAGCCGGGCTCCCACCTGCAGCGCCCGTCAGACTCCGGCAGCCGGCACGGCACGGCTCGGCTCGGCTCGACACCGCACGGCTCGGCCCGCCCCCCCGCTCCCCATTGGAGCCGCCGCCGCCCCGCCTCCGCCCGCCCGCCCGGAGCGCCCGCGGGGGCGGCGGTGGGCAGCGCTCCGGGACCCTCCTGCCCGCGGGGCTGGCGGCCGGGCCAGGTGAGGAACCGTGCTAGGCATCAGCTTCTCTTGCCACCGCGCCACGGCTCCTGGTTTGGGGTGGTTATTCTTCTTCTTTTTTTTTTTTTTTTTTCTATTCTGGGGGAAAAAGGAAAATACTAAAAGCGGGTGCGTGATGTTACTTTATGCCAGTGTTTCGTGCTGTTAGTGTTACGGGAGCCCGTCGCTTCAGCAGGCGCTGAGAGGCTCTGATGCAGACAACTGCTCTCCGGTCCGAGCCATCTGAACACGATCACTAATGCCCCGAACAGGCAGCGGCAGTTCAGGCAGGATGTCACAGGGTGAGTACTCCGTGACAGATCCAGGGAAACCACAAACTTCTGTGCAACAGCTAGAGCATAGGGCTGCTTTGGCTTCCTGAGGGCTTCCCGAGGAATGCTGTTTTCAAAAAAAAAATAAGCATCTCATCCTTTCAATATGCTTCCCTCAGCCTGCAGAAAATTCTGGCTCTTTTGTTTCATTTTTCTGTTGAAATTATAGGTAGCCCTTTCACAAATTGCTCTCTAGACATACAGAAGGACAGCATTTGGAAAATGTGGGAGAGAAACAAGAATACACCAGCAGTGGTGGGAGTTTGAGAAATAAGCTTCCAGACAGTGGAAATTCCCCTTTAGATTTGGATGCAGCCACCCTGAAATTCTGAGGAATAGAGGTTGCTGTTCTGGGAACACAGCTGTTTCAGGATGGGAAATTTTCAGCCACATTTGGAGGTGATGGAATATCTAAGAGAAGTGAGAATTTCCTGGACCAAAGCACACCGGGAAAGTACCAGAACCACTCACAGCTGACTTGTGGGCAAAATGGTTGTGAGCTTTCCTCCCAGACAAGGGGAAGAGAATTCCCAGACCAGGCGCTTTGGGTGTCATGCTAAGTCATTAACACCAAGATTATACCTGACCCTGCCAAGGTCTGTAAGTCACGCCGAGGCTGACTTATCCCCCGTGGGAGGCAGCCAGAATCGCTGCATTTAGAAAGCCTGCTGGCTACACAGAGCCCAGCAAATCCCTCTGCTCAGCAGCAGGGAAGGCTTCTCCGTTCCCAGAGGCAAGCGACAGGACAGGGAGGGCTGTGTCCCAAAGGCCACGGCGCAGGCAGCGGTAGGAAGGGCTGTGGCGTCCCCTTGGCATGAGGCCAGCAGCCCCTGCTGCCACCCCAGCCTGAAGTTTGCCCGCAGTGCAAATAATTGCTGAGATCCACCAGATGTAGTCCTAAGAGTTCAAAGGATACCCGTGGGGGAGAACTCCTTGGGAGGCGGGGCACGGTGTGCCAGCTGCCGGTGGCAAAGGTTGAAGTTCCAATGGGGAAATTTTTGTTCAGCACATGAGATAATTTTCTGTGATAAGTTATGCTTAGGTCGGCTCAGTGAGAACATCGTGCTATTGAAGGGAGTTGTGTGGCAAGCAAATTTCCTGGGCGCCTGCATTTCTATTTTTTTATTTTTTTTAACTGTGGGTCTATGTACAGTTATCGACTTTTACAGCTTTGCAAATTGATATGCAAGAGGTGCACAGGACGAGGTGTGGGAGCTGGGACGTGACCCTGGCCGATGCATCAGCAGGAATCCAGTGATGTCAGCGTAGATGTGACTCCAGCTGGGAACGATGAGCCCAGGCTTCCCAGCAGGAGCAGGGCTGCGAGGCAAGCAGCGAAGCTGTGGGCAGGAGAGTGGCTTTGGTCACACCACGCAGATTTCCACTGGTTATTGCAGAATGGACTGATGGTGCATCCCATAGTGTGAAGGGTTTCTTATCTCTTCTAAGGTCGAGGCGGGTTCTAAGAAAGAGCCACATGTGTAGAATAAGAGCTGCAAAGTAAGTGCTGGGTTTGGGAAGGCTCCTGGTGCTTTGCCAGGCTGGCAGCAGGTACCTGGGTCTTTAGGGGAACTGACTTCAGGTAATTCGTGAGCGATCACCCAGCCCTGGGACAAAATGGCTGAAGCGTATTTTGTTCTGCTGATGTGGGAAAAGGCCGCGCCAGTCCCTGTCGGGGACGCATTAATTAAAGGAACTAATGGTGAGTTCCTAAAATATCTATCGGAGTGATCAGGATGTCTGCTGAGAGAAATCTGACTTGCTGGGCTTCAAGTTGTGCCAAGTCATTGTGTTCGTCAGGAAATGAGGGTGTTCTGGGGCAGGTAAAGCAGAAATAAATCACGCTAACCCTCCTCTGGTGCTCGTTGCTCCTGTTTCCAAAGCCCCGTTTCAGGAGGCGGCTTGCATACATTGGTTACATCGTTACTCAGTAGGATGTAACAGCTCTAAGAATTTTTTTTTTTTTTTGCTTTTATTGTGGTTAATGTTTTTAGCACATTGTATAGGAGTCTCTCCTTACCAATGTTGTCATCCTGAGCACCCCTTTCTGAAACTCCCCTGCCAAGTATCCCCTGCAAAATCTGCATTAGGAGAATGTTGATCTGATTTACAGTAACCTGACAAGACAACTTGTGGTGATACGTGATAAAACGTTGAAATCTTGCGACAGAGAGGACGTTCATCTCTGACCATGAACGTGGGATATCCCGGGAGGGGCTGGCTCAGGAGACCACAGAGCCTGCGAGCACAGGATGATGAATGAAGGGAAGTATTTGCAGCATCACCCTAAAGAGCCATTTACACCAGAGAGCATAATTATTCCCACACATTTCAGCAGTGCCTAGTGTGGGCTGCCCTCATATATCCAAACTTTTATGGGCCCTCTGTATTATTTGTGTGGCAGTGGTGGGGGTTTTACTTAAAATGAACCCAATTAAGAATGCTTCATCACCACTGCTTATTAACACACTTCCAGAATATCAAGGGGTGGGAGAGGAGTGGCTGGCAGCCCCTGCACTTCATACTCTGAAGGAGGAGTCCCACATTTTCCTGAGCTCTGTGCTCTGAAGGTGAGGCCAGAGATGCAGATTACAATGAAGCTTAGGTTCAMATAAAAGGGGTGATGAATACTGCAGTAATATACCATGCAGATGGTGTTTTCTTTGCAGAAGGACCTTTCTGAATGGTTTGTGTATCCCCACCATTGCCAGCACATCGGCTGGTAATGCTGTCATCCTCTGTCCCCAAGGGCATCCTACAGACCTTCCACCATGGCATCGGTCCTCACTGCTGTGCCATGGCAATCTGCTCCTGAAAAGTGCCCTGGTGTGACAACTTACCTGCTCACAGCAAAATCCAACAGCACTTGTTAAACCTTCCATTTCCAGTAAATGGAATTCTACACCAAAGAAGCAGCTTTGTCCCTGCCTGGTCGGGGTTTGTTAGAGGGACCAGGGCAGTTTTTGTTATAATTTGCCAGTCCCTGAGGATTGCTTTCAAGCTGGAGACCATTATTACCTGAGATTAGAGCTATCCCCAGCTTTWTTTTTATACCATCATCAGYGCACCTGATGTTTAAAGACAAAAARACAGAAAGAGGCAGCATCCCTTCCCCAGCTAATATACGGTTTGGTGACTGAAAGAGATTTATTGAAATCAATGTGCACTTTACCATCGATTTCTTTGTGCAGTGAGGCCTCCTTTAAAGCTTGTCAGCTTTTTCTTGTAAAGCTGAAATGAGACTAACCTGATGTATCAACAGTGAGTAGTTTGAAGTGATACTTCTCTTTCTCCCTCCCCCCTCTTTTTCTCTCTCCAGACTTGTGAGACACGACAAAATAACTCTTATTTAAAAATGTATTTATCACATTTACTGAAGGTGTCCAAACTGCCTAAATAAATAAAAAATGCATGCAAAATTCAATTTAGCATTGGCAGGGGACTTGACCAGATGATCTAACTGGTCGTTTATAGCTAGCTAYGACTGTAATTGCATGTCCACATCATGCTGTTTAAAATTTTAAATTCAACCCACACCATATTTTCATTCTGTGAAAGGAATTTACTTTAGCATCATTCTTTGTCCATGTCAGGAGAGCAATTTTTCACTTTTGATAAGAAAATGTCATTTTTTTTGTTTAAAAATTGCAAATGAAAAAGCTATTTCTATGTCTCCAGAGCTTTTATTTATTGATTGTCTCATTTTTAGTGAGTAATTTCAATTAATTTTATTATAATAACAATGTGTAGTGCAAAGCTATCAAATTGTACAGAAAAGACTTTAAATAAATTATTATGAATCATGATCTTGTCATGTGGAATGCTGCTTTTTCAGTCTCCATAGCTTGACCCCTAAAAAGAATAGCAAGAAATACATTATCTGACATTTTAAGTGGAGTGACAGGCTTCTACAATGAGGTGACCTGCTCAGTGGATGAAGGGAGAGCAGTGGACGTTKTTTACCCTGAAACATTTTGAGGAAAGAAAGGCATTTGACATTATTTCCTGTAAGACCCTCATTAATAAGCTGGAAATGTACAGGTTAGGTAAGTGGACAGTGAGGTTGACTGAAAACTGTCTGAATGACCAGGGCCAGAGTGTTGTGGTCAATGGCAGCAGGTCCAGTTGAGGTCAGGTCAGTAGCACCGTACATGAAGGCTCAGTATTAGTGGCCAATACCTCATAACACCTTCATTAATGATTGGGATGGCAGGGCAGAATTCAGCTCTGCAGATGAGAYGGAGCTGGGAGGAGTGGCACATACACCAGAAGGTTGTGTGGCYCTGGACAGGCTGGAGAAACGGGCAGATAGGAATCTCATGGAGTTCTATAAAGAGAAACTGCAAAGTGTCCCAACAGGAGAGGATCAACCAACCCCATGCAYCAGTACAGGCTGGATGTCAGTCAGCTGGAAATCAACTCTGCTGAGAAGGACCTGGAGGTTCTGATGTATGAGCAGCTGATCCCCAACCAGCATTGTGACCTTCATGGCAGCGACTGGCCCTTGCTGCAGAGAKG